GAGTAGACATATTCAAAAAGTTTTGGATAAGGGTAAGATAGTTTTAAATGTTATGAGGTGTTTGGTGGGGAAAGAGTGGGGCGCTGAGTGGAAAATGTTGAAAACAATATATACGGGTTTAATAAGGTCTGTATTAGATTAAGGCAGCTTGGCCTTTGGATCAGCATCAGAAACACTTCTTAAAAATTTTGACATTATTCAGTATTAAGCCTTGAGGTTGTGTACAGGAGCCATCAGAACAACATCAGCTTTACTGGTGGAAATGGGGGAAATACCACTTTATCTCAGAAGATTACAGTGAAAGTCAACTTATTGGAGTTATTTAAAGAGCCGTATTCGAAACCATTCATGTCAAGAAATTACAAAACCTAGTTGGGAAGAGGAATACAATAATTTAAATTATTTTGGTTGGGAGACAGAAAACATTATAAAAGGCTTTGATTTATTTCACATAAATATCAAACAGTTCCTCTTTCACCAGCAGTGTTGTGGTCAAGACCACCTAACCTGAGACCAAGACAAGACCAAGACAGAGGGAAGTCAAGACCGAGTCAAGACCAAGACCCACACTACATGATACGATAAAATGTGAAATATGATCAAAATTGCTTCTCAAATTGATCTGAAATATCCATATTCCCATAAAAATACCTAGATATTAAATACTTAATACATTTTACCAATATTAAATATTCCATTTCTGTGCTAAAAAGTGTGATGGTCTTGTGCCATCCCTAAAAACATAACGCCCTGGGCATTTGCCCATATTGCTCATATAAGAAACCACCACTGTTGCACCATTAAACATAGCAATTGAGGCAATGCCCTGACGGTAAATAACGCTCAACCATGAACACTGACCAAGGAGCAACAAGCAAGAAGTAACCAAACAGAAGGCGCTCATCGTGACTGTTTTCACTCTCATTCCCAGTACATGAAGCCAGGTAGTCTGACACCATGGCAGACATTACAGCTGCCACTTTGAACAAAAACAATCAAAGAACAATATGCATTCTCTGCGTGCTCTTTCGTTCTTGTGTTTTAGTTATTTGTTAATTTAAATATCAATGTATATAATTAAATGAAATAATGATGCAGTGTACACAGAGCATTACAAGAACAAAGAAGCGGTGTTCTGCCAGGTCATATCGTCATACGCTTAGCACGAACTCACGGTGTTCTGTCTGATCAGCATACGTTGTCAGATAGTCGTATGCTTAGCTCAGACATGCATACGCTGTCATTACCAAATGATTTTATTCAATCAGCAACATAGAATCATGACGTAGATCATCATACACTTGGTTATTAACAGTTGTATGGCATCCAGCTGTAGCCAACCTGCTTTAAATACACTTTGAAACCATGACAACACATGTATATCTATATAGTTATCATTGAAAACAATTTAATGACTTATGTTCATCATAACTTGCTGCGTATGGTGAACTGACAACTCCTCTGACGGTCGGATTTCTTAATGCTTACTGCATGTTTGCTATCCTGACAGCGTATGGCTATCTGATAGAACAACGGCTCTCAGTGACACTCCAGTCCTATCTAATAAGTAAAGAGCCGTGGAGAAGAATCAACTGTTTCTGAATGTCACCTCACT